TGTGTGTGTGTGTGTGTGTGTGTGTGTGAGTGTGTGTAAGCAAGTGAAGGGGGGGGCTGAATTCTGCAGCTGGTATAAATTATGCAAATGGGGTTCGTTTGCATACAGCCTGGATTAGAAGACAGTTTTGAGTCAGCTCCTGGAGGTGGAGAAGGCTTGGAAGAGGTGGATAAAGAGATTGAAAGGTGGGGTCTAAAGCGCCTCTTCAGGTAAGCAGGACAGAATAACAAGACTTGGGAGGGACGTCCGAGGTCTTCGACCTTTGCTGGCTGGGGAATGAATTCTGGGAGTTGAAGTCCTCCAGGCTTCAAGTTACCAAGGTTGGAGACCCCTGTTCTAGTCCACCCCCCCTGCACAAACAGGACACCCTACATACCAACCCGTGGTTGCCAACCAGTGGGCCGGGGACCACTGGTGGTCCACAGAGAAAATGTTGGTGGTCCGCAGAGAGATGTCGCCCCCAAAGGAATTAATCCAGGCTGCGCAGGAACACAAGGCTGCACCACTCACGTGGCCCGCGGGAACACAAGGCTTGTGTCACTTGCATGGCGAACAACACAAGGTAGTGAGGGGAGGGAGGAAAGGGCAGAGGTGGGGGAACTTGTCCCACGTGCCCCATGCGCCTAGCTTGGCCGGGCTGCTTCTTTCCACTTCTGCTTTTGGCTGCACGCAAGGAAAGCAGGAAAAGTCTTTCTTTTTCTCCCCCAACCTCCGCCAGAAATGAGTCTTTGGGTCCCTGCAAGGCCTCCTGCTCCAAGAGGCTGCGCCGTCAAAGACTCATTTCTGGAGGAATTTGGGGCAGAGAAAGAAAGACTTCTGCTGCTTTCCTTGCGTGAAGCCAAAAGTCTCTCTCTCTCTCTCTCTCTCTCCCCGCATGAGAACGGAGCTGGAGATGGTATCCTGCAATCCCAAATAAAGAATGATCAATCGGTAGGAAAACACGATGGGGAATTTTCCTGCAGACTTTTTTGGGGTGATTTTCCCAGGGTCTCTGCTGCTTTTTGCAGAGACCCCGGGAAAATGTCAGCAAGCCACCGTTAGTCAAAATTCATATTAGTGGTCCGTGGGATTTAAAATTATGAGTTTGGTGGTCCCTGAGATCCAAAAGGTTGGCGACCCCTGCTATACACCATTTTAGATAAAGGGCCGTCCAATCTCTTCTTAAAAACCTCAATATGGTGGAGCAACTTGTTCCACTGGTTAATTGTTCTCACTGTTAGGAAATTCCTTCTTAGATCCAGGTTGGATCCACTCCCTTCATTAGTTTCCATCCATTGTTTCTTGCCTTCTGATGCTTTGGAAAATAATTTGACCCCTTCTTCTTTGGGGCAGCCCCTCAAATATTGGAAGACTGCTACCATGTCGTCCACCCGCAGTCCTTCTTTTCATTAAACTAGACGTACCCAATTCTAGCAACCATTCCTTGTATGTTTTAGCCTCCAGTCTAAACCAACTTTATGACTCTTCTCTGCATTCAACATCTTTTTTTATATCGCGGTGGCCAAAATGGGGTGCAATATTCCAAGTGTGTTCTTACCAAGGCATTATCCCAGCTAGACCAGGCTAAATACTTATGGAAAGGTAGAACAAGTTAGAACAGGCTCTTTCAACGTTCTTCAACTCTCTAAAGGCCATCAAAGGAGCAGAACAGAGTAGAGCAGAGTTGGAAGGGACCTTGAAGGTCTGCTAGTCCAACCCCCTGCTCAAGCAGGAGATCCTATACCTGTGATGGCGAACCTACAGCACGCAGAGCCATTTGTGCGGGCCCGCAAGCCCCAGGCAAACTTACCTCACTGCACATGCGCGTGTGCCTCCCAGCTGATTTTCAGGCCTTTTTTGGCCTCCTGGAAATACCGGAAGTGACGAAACGGGCCCATTTTTCAACCTCCAAAGGCTGCAGAGGCTTCCCTTGATCCTCTGGGTGGCCGAAAAAGGTCCCAAAATCAGCTGGGAGAGGCGCGCATGCACAATGCAGGTAAGGGGATGGGGGGGAGGATCACGCGCGCATGCGCAGGGGGCGTGGGAAGCCCCGCACACATTGCCTTCTGGGTGCTGGCACGAGGGCATGCGCGCGAGAGCACAATTTTTGGCACAGGAGACCAAAAAGGTTAGCCACCAGTGTCCTATACCAGGGGTCCCCAACCACCGGTCCGTGGACCGGTACCGGTCCGTGGAACAAGTCCTACCGGGCCGCTGGTTTACTGGGCGCCGCCATCTTGTTTTAATGAAAAAGTGCTTCCGGTGAGCTTTTCCGGGTAGAAAGCTCACCGGAAGCACTTTTTCATCAAAACAAGATGGCGGCGCCCAGCTGATGTCAGTACCGGACCGCGCCATAAAAAAGGTTGGGGATACCGGGCCGCGGCATAAAAAAGGTTGGGGATCACTGTCCTATACCGTTCCATCAATGGACTTCCATAATTCCATTATTTCCAGGATGCACAGTTGAATAAAGTCTGGGAATAACCGTATCTTCCACGAACAGGTTTCTAACACTCTTACCAAGCAAAGATCTGGATGAATTTGGAGTCCAGCAGAAATTTATATTTCTTACCAACACATCGAACAGGCGAAGTCCACTCCGCTCAATGTTACTTGTCATGATTTGATGCCAGTAATGTTATTTATTTAGGGTGGAGATTCTCCGTAATTTTAAAGGATTCTCTTCTAAAAGGCATCTAAGGATGTGTGAGGTAGGTGCTCCCGGACTGAATTTGGCCTTCAAGAAGGAGAACAACTCGACCTCCCCCACTTCTTGATGGCAGCCCCTCAAATATTTTAATGTTGCTATCATGTGGGAGATAACCCAGTAACAGAATTGGAAGGGCCCGTAGAGGTCTTATAATCCAACCCCCTGCTCAAGCAGAAACCTGATACCATTTCAGACAGATTCTCGTCCAGTCTCTTCTTGAAAGCCTCCAGTGATGGAGCACCCACAATTTATGGAGGCAAATTGTTCTATTCATTTATTGTTCTTGCCATCAAGAAGTTTCTTAGTTCTAGGTTGCTTCTCTCCTTGATTAATTTCCATCCATTGCTTCTTGTCCTGCCTTCTGGTTCTTTGGAGAATAGCTTGACTCCCTCTTCTTTGGGGGCAGCCCCTCAGATATTGAAACACTGCTATCATGTCACCCTTAGTCCTTCTTTTCCCTAAACTGGCCATAACCAATTCCTGCAATGGTTCTTCGTATATTTTAGCCTCCACCCCCACCCCCCTATATTTTAGCCTCACTATATTTTAGACATGCCCAATTGCCTGTAACCATTCAAGGTATGTTTTAAACTCCAGACCCATAATCATCTTTGTTGCTCTTCTCTGCACTCTTTCTAGAGTCTCAACGTATTTTTTTTTTAGATCCCGCTGGCCAAAACTGGATGCAGAAAACCCTCCTCTCTCTGGACTTCATCCAGATCTGACAGCTGCCAAACTCCCATACTTTTAAACAACCTGGTGCATGCTGGAAAATGGAAGTCCCCTCCTGTTGGGGGGTGCCCAGATTACGGAAGATCACTTTAAATCCATGCCAGGGTATGCCAACTTTCTCTAAGGAACTTCATATTTTCCTTCTGGGCCAGGAATTGATTTGGCTTCCTTATAATTGGAAGGCTACTTTGGAAGAAAGAAAGAAAGAAAAAAAAAAACCCAAAAAGAAGAGCTCTAAGCATAGGTACCTCAGCCCACAATTACAGCCTCTGCTGAATGTTTGGGCAGTCTGTGGGATTGTGGGTTTATTACACCATAAAAGTGTCACTGAGCGCAGGGTCTGTTTTGTCTCTGCTCACTTTGGCGTTAATTGCAGGGTGTGGTCCTTCTTTTTTTTCTCCCCCACCCCAGCCACACAAAATCTCTCCTCCTTCCACTTCGACCTCCTACTGGAGGCCTAGATCCTATGTCTACTCACTTCTTGCAGGGAGCAAACAAACCAATGCCACCTTGCCACCAGCAAAGCCATTTTGGTGCCATCTGCAGAGTCACACCGAGCCACCTTAAAGCATTACATGGGCGCGAAGCTAAAACCCTGTTCAGATAGCAAAAGAGGCGAATATTTGTAGCTCGGGGCTGAATTGTGGGGTCCTTGGGGCTCTCTGAGCTGGGTGGTTTTTTTGCAGACATTTCACGACTGAACTAGGTAACTACATCAGTGTTAAAAGGGACTGGGGTTTGTAGCAAAGAAGAGGAGGAGGAAGATGGGAAGAAGGAGTATTGTGGGGTCCTTGGTGCTCTCTGAGCTTGGTGGTTTTCTTGTAGACATTTTACAACCCAGCTAGGGAACGTCATCAGTGCTATAAGGTTGTTGGGTTTGCTCTCTGTTTATATATGATGGTTTGCCCTGTCTGTGTTGGTGGGAGTATTCTAGATGGTTCCTTGACAGAGCTGTTGTTGACTGTTTGGTTGGTTGTTTGAGTTGGTAAGTTTCTTGACCTTGGGTATTGTTTACTTCTTGACTGTAGTGTTAGTCTTGGTGTTAAACTCTGCTCATATTGGGTATTAATTGCTGGGGAGGAGGGTTTTTTGTTTCCTTTTTGGCTAGGCAAGCCACTGGTGTACAAAAAGAGAACAAACCCTACTTTCTTACTACTAGAACTGATGACGTTACCTAGTTTGGTAATGAAATGTCTGCAAGAAAACAACCAAGCTCAGAGCTCACCAAGACACCCAGCCAGCCACTACTTCCTCCCTGTTTTTTCTCCCAAATGCATAACAGAAAATATCAGACATCTCCTAAATTGGGTCAGATTCTCATACACAACGGCAAACCTTTACACACTATCTTAGCAACTCCTGAATTTGTCCGAAACAAAATAAAAGCGTTGGTCTCTAGAGTCAAAACGCTTACAAGCAAAATCCGGAGGCTTCCATCCGCCACGCAAAACAACCTTCAATCTTGCAATGGCCAGCGATGGCGTTACCCCCCACCAAGCAACACAACTGACAACTGGAGCTTCCAACATGCTTTCTCACAATGGGCGTCTTGCAAAGAAAAAGGAAGCCAAACACTTACCTTTCTTGGCCGTTTCCATCTCCTCCTCGGTCCAGCGAGAACTTTCGTTCATCTCCAGAGAAGCTGGTAGAAAGAAAAGAAGAGATTAGGCTGAAAAACAAATTGTTTGGTGTGTGTGTGTGTGTGTGTGTGTGTGTGTGTGTGTGTAAAACATAGTGACATGCCATTTGCAATGACCTTCCTTATCGAACCTGACTTTGTTCGCCTTAGGCACAAAAGTCGGCTAGCTGGCTTTGGGCCAATCACCGAGAGATGGCGAGTTCTAGTTCTTGCCTTAGGATTGAAAACCAGCTGGGTGGCTTCGGGCAAAATCATCAGGAGAAGGTGAGTTCTAGTCCCACCTTAGGCATGGAATCTTCGAGACAGTCCAAACAAGAGCTAGTTTGGTGGAATGGTTAAAGTGTTGGCTTAGAAACCAGGAAACTGGGAGTTCTAGTCCCACCTTAGCCAGGAAAACCAACTGGATGACTTGGGGCCAATCACCAGGAGACAGGGAGTTCTAGTCCTGCCTTAGTCATCTAAACCAGCTGGGTTTGACTTTGGGTCACCCAGCTGGTTTATATCTCTCTCAGGACAATCCTGAGCGAGGGGTTGTTTTTCTTGGAAAACAACAGGGTTGTTTTTCCTGGAAAAATAGAACGAGGAAGAAGCATTATGTACGTTCTCCACCTTGAGTTGTTTATAAAAATAATAAGAGCAGGGATAAAATAAAATGCAAATGAAAAGGTAATGAAAGCAGGAATAAAATAAAACAAAAATAAAAAAGAGGAAAAGCTACTACTGTTAATCATCTTTATCTTGACGGTCCCGATTTTCAGACCTTCGCTAATAAAAACAAAGCTGGAGGACTAGAAGCCAACCACAGGGGCCAAACAAATGTGCAGCTAAAGTCAGCCATGGGGGCTAAATCCAGCTCTCTGCCAGTTCATCAGCTGAAACTCTACCAGTTGAATCACCTACCAACAGATCCTCCCATTCAAGCTAATCCACACGGACAATTTCCAAAATGAGATTTCTCAGTTCTGCACAGCCCTCAAGTGGCCAAGAGAGGCAACTTCTCCAGACCTACGCAGGAAGACAGCCGGTCTGCAGAGAAGGAAGTGGCTTCCCTAGAGGATTTTTAATCCAAAATTTGTCATCTCCTGTCCTACTTCTTCACTCCGGCTCCACCCGTGTGTTTTGGAATAAATCTCTCGGCACGCCCTTCCAGGTTGTCCTAGAAAACCAGCCCCATTTCTGACTTCACTACCTAGATCGTCTGCCGCTTCCAAAGCAAAAGAGAATTAAATGCGTTTTATGCTTATTTGCCTGTTTGTGAAAGCAATGCCTTTGGTTCAGGCTGAATTTTACATATGTTTCATATATATTTCGAACTCAATTGTGGGTTGTAAGTTGAGGACTCGTGTACATCACAGTGGGATGGTAGGTAGGTAGGTAGGTAGGTAGATGATAGACAGACAGACAGATATGATAGGTAGGTAGGTAGGTAGAGCTAGAGATAGGTACGTAGGTCTAGATAAATAGGTAGGTAGGTAGGTAGGTATATATATATAGAGAGAGAGAGATAGGGAGGGAGGGAGGGAGGGAGGGAGGGAGGG